TATTGGGTTTTACAATAAGAATAAACATAATAAACAATATAACATTTGTCTTAACATAGTTTCACATTTTCTTTGGACTTCCTCACATCCCCCGCTCCCACTTTCATCGTTATAACATTTTGTCAGCAATTTATCATCTTATTTAAATTCTTATATCTCTTCAATGTTTCATAATCTTATAGTTCTCATAAAGAGTTAAACTTTCACAGTCTTACTTATTTTCTTAAAAACTTCTAAGTTAAGTGGTGCTCAGTTATTTAGTCTAGCATCTTATTTAGCATTCACTCAAATCACAATATTTTTGTAGATAGTTCTTAAATTTCTTCCAATCCTCCTCGATTCTCTCTTCTCCCAGGTCACGGATTCTGCCGGTCATTTCAGCCAGTTCCATGTAGTCTATCAGTTGCATCTGCCATTCTTCCAGTGTGGGTAAATCTTGAGTTTTCCAATGTTTTGCAAGAAGTATCCTTGCTGCTGTTGTTGCATACATAAAAAATGTCTGGTCCTTCTTTGCCACCCCTTGGCTGACAATACCCAGAAGGAAAGCCTCTGGTTTCTTGGTAAAGGTATATTTAAATACCTTTTTCAATTCATTATAAATCATTTCCCAGAACGCCTTCACTTTAGGGCAGGTCCACCAGAGGTGGAAGAACGTTCCCTCACACTCTTTACATTTCCAACACTTATTATCAGACAGGTGGTAAATTTTTGCAAGTTTAACTGGGGTCATATACCATCTATAAATCATTTTCATTACATTTTCTTTCAGAGCGTTACATGCAGTAAATTTCAATCCATTACTCCACAACTTTTCCCAGTCCTCAAACATAATATTATACCCAATGTCCTGTGCCCACCTTATCATAGCCGATTTAACCATTTCATCTTGTGTATTCCATTCCAACAGCAAGTTATACATCCTTGAAAGTACCTTAGTCTTTGGTTCTAACAATTCTGTTTCTAATTTCGATTTCTCCACCTGGAACCCTAGTTTCTTATCATTTTTAAAAACTTCTTTAATCTGAGCGTAATGTAACCAATCTCGCACTTTGTCTTTCATTTTCTCCAAACTCTGCAATTTCCAATTGTCTCCATCTTTTCTAGTATTTCCCAATATTTTGGCCATTTAGCCTCCATATTGGGTCTTTTTCGGGCCTTAGCTTCCAAAGGTGAAAGCCACCTTGGTGTTTTATTTTCCAGCAAGTCTTTATATTTTGTCCAGACATTAAACAATGATTTTCTGACAATATGGTTCTTGAAGGCCTTATTTGCTTTAACTTTGTCATACCATAAATATGCATGCCATCCAAAAACATTATTAAACCCTTCCAAATCCAACACATCAGTGTCTTCAAGAAGTAGCCAGTCTTTTAGCCAGCAGAACGCTGCGGCTTCATAATACAACTTTAAGTCCGGCAGGGCAAAGCCCCCTCTTTGTTTTGCATCAGTTAATATCTTAAACTTGATTCTGGGCTTTTTGCCCTGCCAGACAAACTTCGAAATATCTCTCTGCCACTTCTGAAAGCACTCCGTTTTGTCCAAAACCTGAAGTGTTTGAAATAAAAACAACATCCTTGGCAATACATTCATCTTAATAGCAGCAATTCGGCCTAACAAAGAAAGTTTCAATTTTGACCAACTGTCTAAGTCTCTCTTAATTTCTGTCCAACATTTTTCATAGTTATCCTTAAATAGACTTAGATTTTTGCTGTTATGTTTACCCCTAGGTATTTTACTTTTTAACCACATTAAGTTCCGTCTCATTCTGAAACCGTTCTGACTCTGTATCAGTCAAATTTTTCCCCAAAACCTTAGTTTTCTGTTTATTTAATTTAAATCCCGCCACCCGACCAAAATCATTAATCAATTGTAATACTCTTTTCGTACTGGGCTCTGGCTTCTGCAGGGTCAAAACCAGGTCATCTGCAAAAGCTTTTAGTTTATATTGTTTCTGACCAACCTGAATTCCTTCCACCAACCGATCCCCTCTAATCATGTTCAGTAGCACTTCCAGAACCGAAATAAATAACAAAGGGGAGATAGGGCAACCTTGTCGTGTCCCTTTTTCAATTTTGAACTCTTCTGTGACCACATTATTAACTATCAGTTTAGCTTTCTGTTCTGAATATATCGCCTCAATCCCATTCTCAAAACCCCGTCCCACTCCCATCTCTTTTAAATTTCCCATCATAAATTTCCAGGAAATATTGTCAAAGGCCTTCTCCGCATCTATGAAAATTAAAACTGCTTTTGTATTTATATCTGTTTGCAGAAGTTCCAAGATGTCAATAATGTTCCTTGTGTTAGCAAACAGATGTCTACCTGGGAGAAAACCGGCCTGGTCCTTATGAATTACTTCATTTAAAAATCTACTTGCCAAAATATCTGCAAATATTTTGTAATCCACATTTAAAAGAGAGATGGGACGGTAGTTCTTCAGTTGTGTCTTTTCAGCTTCTGACTTTGGTATTAATGTGATGAACGCTTCCTTCCACGAATCCGGTGCCCTCTTCCCCTCCATAATTTCATTGCTGACCTCCATCAAGGGTTGTATCAAATAGTCTTTTAATGTCTTATAATACTTGGAGGTCAGCCCATCTGGCCCTGGAGATTTGCCAAGTTGCATGTTCTGAATAGCTTGTTCAATCTCCTGTCGTGTTATTTTAGAGTTCAGGATTGTCCTGTTTTCTTGTGACAATTTAGATAATCCATTTTTGCCAAAAATTGTTTAATCTCAACTTCGTCTTGCGGCCCTTGGGTGTATAATTTTTAAAATATCTCTGGAAACACTTTCTAATATCCACTGGATTCTGAATGTTTTTCCATCCACCTCTAAGTTTGTAACCGTGTTTAATCTTTGTCTTCTCTTCAACTGCCAAGCTCGCAGTTTTCCACATTTCTTCGCCGACTGACTCGTTGTGTGTTTCATTAATTTAACCTTCCATTCAATTTCCTGATTTATCAATTTAGAATATTGTGTTTGATAGAGTTTAATTTCTCTCAGAGTTGGCTGTGACTTTGGATTCGCTCTTAATTTCTTCTCTAATTCTTTTAATTTGTCCAAGATCTTATCTTTTTCTCATTTTGTGTTCTTTTCTTTACTACATTCTGTTGTATCAAGAATCCCCTCATTACAGCTTTGCTTGCGTCCCAGACAATTCTTTTTCCACCGAATTGTTCATGTTTATCTCAAAATAGTCCTTCAAAACTTTTTGGGCCTTCTTGGTAATTTCCTGATCTCTAAACAAATTGTCATTCATCTTCCATCTAAAGGATCCAGTTGGTAGTAGTGTCATATCCATCTTTACTGCATTATGGTCAGAGCAGGTCTTTGGGCAGATTTCCACTTTTCTGACCTTAGGTGCCAGGCCTCTGGAAATCCATATTTGGTCGATTCTTGTCCAGGTCAGTTGGGCTTCAGAAAAGAATGTTCCTTCTCTACCTAGTGGGTTCTTTGTCCTCCAAATGTCAATCAAATCCATATTGTCAGTCATTACAAAAAAGTTTTAGGTAGTCTGCCGTCTTTTGTAACATTTTGACTTTGTGACTTGTCCATGTTAGTTGACACGACCCCGTTCATGTCTCCCATCATTATGATGTTGTTGTAATCCAGATATTCCAGCATTGTCCCCTGCAGCTTCTTGTAAAATTCCGATTTCCCTTCATTAGGTGCATAGATTCCTAATATCAACAGTTTCTCTCCTTGATATTGTATCTCAATGGCCAAAATTCTTCCATGTTCATCTTTAAATAAGAATTTAGGTGACAGGCTCTCTTTTGCATATATCACCACGCCTCTCTTCTTAACTTTGTCCGACGAAACAAATTCCTGGCCCAATCTTTTATTTATTAACACTTTTCTGTGGAGCCTCGTCACATGTGTTTCTTGTAAACAGATAATGTCCAATTGTTCTTTTTTAATATATGAAATATTTTCTTCCTTTTTCCGGAATGTTACAACCATTAATGTTCCAACTCAGCAATTGCAGAGACATCCTGGATCTATCTGGTTATTTCTCCAGGGGTGGTGTCTTCTCTGGATCTTCAGGTTCCCCAGGTGCTGGTGTTAATGCTGGCTTTGCCCCAGGCCCAGAAGGTAATTCAATTCCTTTTTGAAGGTCCTCTCCGTATGTAGCCAAAAATTTGTCTCTCTCTTCCAATGTTCTAACTTTGACCTTTCTCCCTTTAAAGGTAAAAGATATTCCTTGGGGAAATTCCCACCTGAATGGAATTGCGTTGCTCCTTAGTAGTTTAGCAAGTTCAGAATAGGCGGCTCTAAGATCCAGCAGTTGTCTTGGAATATCTTTATAAATTTCAATTCTTCTGTCCAAAACCTCCAGTGACTTTCCGTAATGTAGGCCCAAAATCTTATCCCTTTCCTCCTTTGATCTCAATGTAATCAAACAGTCTCTGGGCCTCTCCTTCTTTGTGAATCTTCCAAGTCTGAAAGCCGACACAATTTTAAAATCCTTTTCTTCCAAATTCCAGAACTTGGAAAATTCTTTGGTCAAAAACTCAGTTAAATTTCCTTCTTCTGCCTCTTGTAATGATCTAATCCTCAAATTATTCTCACGATTTCGCAGTTCTATCATGGAAAGATAAGTCTGATGTTCCCCAACTTGTTTGGTGAGTGGTCTTACCTCTTGCTCTAAATTTTCCAATTTTTGTCTAGTATCCTCAGCCAATTTCCGATTTTCTGCTGAGGCCTCCGTTAACTGTCCAATTGCTTGTGTATTCTGTACAACTTGTATGGTTAATTTATTTAGACATTCTGTATTTTTGTCAATCTTTGCTGATTGCGCATCTACTTTCTTGTCCAAAGCTTCCAATTTTTCAAAGATTTTGTCTAGAACAGAAACAGATACTCCTGAGGCCATATCTTCCAATTGTAACTGCTCTGCTTCACCCTCTCCCTCTTTTGCCTGTGGCAAGGCAACTTCTTCAAGTTCTACTTCTGAGGGCAAAGTAGGTACAGATGATCTACGTGTCTGCGAGGCTGAGGTTAGAGTTGTTAAAGTTGTTTGTCTAACTCTCCCTCTTTTCCTTGTGCCACTCATTCCAACGTTGTCTATCAGTCAAGGTCACACTGAGTTTTTCCCATGGGAATAGAAAGGCCCAGAGCAAGCAAACAACAAGGGAATCGAAAGTAAATGTAAATGTAAAGTCACTGTTTTAATCCAATCCTCTAGAGGGAGCTTAAAATGTCTTTCAGAGTCTAATTTAATGTCCAAGAACCTTCAAATATAAATATTTAGCAGAGTTTATAAGTAGTCACTTTGTTACAGACAGTGCTTATTTATCTCCAAAAAGAATGTTTCAAATTTAAAAGTCTCAATACCCTCAGATTGTTGCAAGTTCCAATATACAGTATCCAAATCTGCAATACTGACAGCTCAATTTCTCAATGCTCAGGCAGCTCCTGACTCTGGGTTTCACCTTCTAATTTGTAATCCAATAAAAGGGGAAAGTCAAGTGCAAGTTAAAATTCCAAGTCTTTAGCTTAAAGTCTTTACTTTAAATTGCAAGTTCAGTAGATGCTTAGATCTGTAAAGTTTAAAATCTCTTCCTTTCAGCCTCCACTCCTCCAACTTAGTTGCTTTTTCAAGTTCAATGGCTGCGGAAGACGGACTTCCTGTTTCCACGTCTCTCCGCTTTCAGCCAAGTTCAAGCCAATTTAAGGTTTTTCATTTAAAGTCTCTAATTTCAAGTGATTCAGTCTTTACTCACGAGTAAGTTGCTTTTCGTCCGAATCCGTATTTTAACAGGAAAAAGGATCAGCGCTCACCGGCAGCAGCAGCGCGGCTTCACTCCGCAGACTGTGAAGCAGCTCTCAGCGCCGCAACCCCCCTCCACGCTCCGGAGCCCCTTACGAGGTTCCTTTCACGTTTGGAGGGTCACTTAAGGCGCCCACCGAGCCTCAAGACCCCAAGCTCTTGCTGCCTGGGGTTTTCCGGAGTGGGTCTCCGCTTCGCCGTAGCGGACGACCCGTTGTCTGCGGAGCCTCCTCTCCCGTTCAGAAGAGGACCGCCATTGCCGTTCGCGCCGCCCCTCGGAAGTCTCTGTTTGCTCTTGTTTTTGTTTGTATTATGTATCTTGTGTTTTTATATTGTATTACTATGTTATGAACTACCCTGAGTTCTAGGGATGAAGCACAGTATATTAAGAAAGAAAGAAAGAAAGAAAGAAAGAAAGAAAGAAAGAAAGAAAGAAACGAACGCCTTGCATCAATTCCATTCAGTAAGTTACACACACACACACACAGAGAGAGAGAGAGAGAGAGAGAGAGAGAGAGTGTTTTGAGTAATATATTATCTTTAAAACAAACAAGTTATTCAAAGGTTAAAACAGTATTCCAAACAGAGATTATTACTGAGTTGTTGTTGTTGTTGTTGTTGTTGTTGTTGTTGTTAATACAGTGGTACCTCGGGTTAAGAACTTAATTCGTTCTGAGGGTCCGTTCTTAACCTGAAACTGTTCTTAACCTGAGGTACCACTTTAGCTTATGGGGCCTCCTGCTGTTGCCACCACACGATTTCTGTTCTCATCCTGAAGCAAAGTTCTTAACCTGAGGTACTACTTCTGGCTTAGCAGAGTCTGTAACCTGAAGCGTCTGTAACCCGAGGTACCACTGTATATAAATTTCATTTAACTAACACATCACTGTTATTGTCTTTTCTTCAATTCATTCACAGCCCTAGCCACACATTAATCACATGTAAATGGTAATCATGTAGGCTGTAGCCCTGCTCCTGACTTGCATCTCTTGCCTTTAGCTGCCTGTGGCATGTGGTTGTCTGTAAAGAAAGCCCAATGAGCACATGTGAGGGGCTCTGTGCCATTCAGACATCTATACAGCCAGCGGTTGCCATGAATTCACATCATAGTTCAAGTGAGCCAGGAATCCTGGCTTTATCATTATGTGTGAATGCGGCCAGTGTCTAGTTGACATTAAGAACTGAAACAGATGCACTAGGATTTCCACTTCCTCTTTTCAAACTATAGCTCTTAATGCTGTGTAGAAGACAGCTCTTGAAATCATCCCAAATTCTGGGAGCATCTTTCTCAACCAATTGCTTTGGAAGCCATTGGAAGCCCCATTGTCAGTAAGGGATTACACAAACATCTATATCTCAGGATCCAATACATCTCTCGTGCTAACTGCTTCATGGCACTGCAGTTTCAACTTCTGGCCAGCAAGCTAATTTCACCCTTGGTTTGACAGAACCACCCAAAATGGCATTTCTGACATTTATTAATCCTTGTTAGCAGGCAAAGAATTTCACTATT